CTTGGCCGTTATGTGAACAAACGCGGCTTGACGTTATACAGAATATTTACGTAGTCCTTATCTCTTTAGTTGAAGTCATTACAAATTCGGATAAATGGCACGACACGGGCATGTTATTTATCTGAAGCTGTATTCTTAACTTTAACAAGGGTTCATTACACGCATCAATGTTTAAAGATAATAAAGGTGTACAATCTCGATGCAAATAGACTCCTATTATTTTATTATTGTATATTATTTTTATTATATCATAATTATTTATATTCTGTTATATAATATTCTTCTTAACGTTTCAATATTTTATTTCAAAAGAATTTTTAATAAAACATTCCTCCGGAACTCGAATCATCAATAATTATATATAGTAGAATAATAATATATCGACTTGATCGATTTAATGGTTTTTATTGATTTGTCCTGGTTTTATGAATATCATATTAATATGACAAGTTATTAATATCACAAACCTTTGACGTCAAATTTGAGATGCGAAATAGCCTGCACGAATCTATCGAGTCTATTCTCCCTTGAATGCTAATTGAACTTCCATTATTATTAAATGTATGCAATCTTATACATCTGACGTGGCGTGACATGGGCTGACCTTCACCTTCAATCTCTATCTCGCGAATATCCATTGTCGACCCTCTATCACCTTCGGACAGACATCGCGATTTCGCTCGAATCTTCCGCATATTATCTCCTACCACCTGGCTACTTTCCCCACCGTATTACTACTTGAATGCCAGGCCGGCCTACCACACGGTGGCGATCACCACTTTTTACCGCGGTTCACTTAACGCCGACTTCCATCTGTATCGGATCTATGAACAGATACCTACCTGAATGCGCGCGCGAAGCATTCCCGCTTCGACCACGAGCCATTCCAATCGACCCACGACGTTTCGTCGAACGACGTATCCGGAATTCCAACGAGTTCTCTGCACCTAATCGCTCGAACACGCGCTACGAGCGTTTCTAGTACGACGAGAATGATTCGCATCCGCTTCTCTCGCTCCACATTGGAATACGCTTAACCCAGTACAAGTTCGAACCCTGAATATAGTGAATGTGTGCGTTTGCGCGAATGGTTTTGTACCGCTAAGAATTGCATTGGTGTTTTATATACGTCGCGGATTTTTGAACGCGTGTAACGTTATTCTTCGTATTGACGACGGATGCAACTTTCATAATATAGAACTAACGGAATTGATGGAATTCTTTCTTGCGCGCACTCTCGGGGGAAAGGTACATATACATATATATACAATATTGGGAGGGAAACTCGAGGGATATATATTCTATCCTATTCCTACGCCTCGGACTTTTCTGAAGTAGACTATCATTTCGTGACCGAGTGCTTGTTTACTCAGTTACTCGAGAGGCACGTCCGCGTGGTTAAACACTCGAGCAACGGCCGGGCATTAATGCAGGCTGTATTGTCGGATGGAAACGACAAGACGTGCCGTGTCCGACGCCTCACAATGCTAACGTGCTCACGGCACGTCGCAACGTTGGGGAATGGAGTGGAATTTCCACTTCCATAAATTTCTTCCTACATAGGTACTACGCGACCACGTGGTTTCCCTCGAACAACACCATCCACAGCTGATCGATCGCTCGAAATTTCTGGTCTCGAAGCTGCTCGTTCACGCGATTGATAGCTCGTCGTAATCTCGAGTCGAACGCAACTAAAGCCTCAACGACAAGCGCTAACGAATAGTTGCGGATGTGCTTTAAATTATGTCTCTTGTAATCGATACGACTATCAATGTCGGTGAGCATGAATGTTTCCGGATGAAAGAGCCACAAACTTGGATTTTATCGCATGCTCTTAGGATTTGATTTATCAGCGGAAAGACTGTTCACGAGTCTGAATCGCCTTTTATAATCCTTATAGAAATATAATTTGCCATATTATTAGAATAAAGATCCGTTCAGCATATAGGAGATATAATTAGAATTGTTAGAATCTCTTGTCAGAATAATCTTTCGCACGCATAATCGCGCGTAGGCGCGATAGTTTCATGTACGCACTAGACCGACTGGAAATTATTTAGAATGATAACACCGATTCGTATGTAATTGAATTGCGGTGCGTCGCAATTATCGCGCGGCGGGATTAGACGAAGGACTTGGCGTTTCAATCTTCAACCTGTGACAATGACTTCGCAACTTATACGACTTCCCGGTCGAGGGGCTCTATGAACGAGATTCTCGGTAGCTCGGAGTGGTGCGTTAAGAGCAAAAAGAGCTTCAAGATCAACAATAAGAAAGAGAGTGAAACGCGTCGGAGTACGCATGTCAAGCTTCAACATCCAATTTTCAGACTTGCTTATTCCGCTGACTTTACAAACTGTCATAATCATGTTTGCAAATTCCGCAATTTTGCAATTGTGTTTGCTCCCCGAATCTGCTGCGTAATTTTAATTATCATCCATGCATTTCTCTGTTTCCTCTGTTATAAAAATTTTATTTTTATCTACTTATTATTAAAAAAAATCGACATGATTATATCTTTGCTACTAAAAATTTAATTCTTCTTATAATTTCGACAAAATTGATAAATTAAATAGAAGAAAATATGGTATTATGTGAAATATACTTGTTAATTTAATTTATATTACTTTGACCAATGCCTTGAAAATGCTCAGCAGATCGATTTACAATGAGAAAAATTTTACTTTTATCTACTTATTATTAAAAAAATCGACATGATTATATCTTTGCTACTAAAAATTTAATTCTTCTTATAATTTCGACAAAATTGATAAATTAAATAGAAGAAAATATGGTATTATATAAAATATACTTGTTAATTTAATTTATATTACTTTGACCAATGCCCTGAAAATGCTCAGCAGATCGATTTACAATGAGAAAAATATAAGATCGTCGCGCACGACCAATGAAACAGGTTTCCACGCGTGTCATAAAAATATACCCCGGGATGCAGAACGGACCCTCGCATTGGGGGCCAAGTCGTGACTAATGGCAGTCCGCGGGTCACTTTCATCCTTTTACGGCGGAAAGCCGGAGTAAAAAATCGTGTACCCGACGGGGATTAAAGGTCCTTACGTGTCCTAATAGCCCTTAATTGAAAGGCCCCACCGACGACGATGGTGGGAGACAATTTTTACTTTCGACATCTTTATGCAGCGTAACGTAACACGACAACTCGTGCGAAGTCGTGTCCCGCGGCGTCGTCGTCTGGTTGTTTTTGCCGGGGTATAAGTATAAAATTAGGAATCGAAAGAGAAAAAAGAAGGAGACGCGAGCACATTATTACGTATAATGATCGACGTAATGGCCGTGATTAAGGTTCTCTTCGGGGCGTGCTGAGGAATCTGCAGCTAATCCGATATTCACTTGTCGTCTTCGGTAATGTCATCTCTTAATCGTTCAACCTGGCGTTAGTTCGCCAAATGCTATTAACTATGTTGCCCCGGCCTGGATAGCGGCCAAGTAAGAAGTGCATTCGAAACCATTACGAAGGTAAACCGCGTTTAATCAACGTCATGGCGCGCTCGTGGATCATAAAATCTAAATTATCTTAGCTTAAAGATAGGACATTGCTCAAAAATTAATTTATATTTTTGTCAATTGTTAAAATGTTTTTTTAGATTATCTTGTTTGAAAAACTGCAAAATTCTTAAGTGACGGAAATTCTTTGACGAAAATCTAAAATAATATTATATAATATGATTCTATGAATTGCATTTTAAATTGAATCGTTCAGTGGAAAGATTAAGTGCTTTGTGGCATTGCGGTGGAAAGTACTGTAGATGTTTGATTTAAAATATTAACGCCTAAAGCCGAAAACCGTGTTGAGTTTCTACCTACAATCTCATCCGCAAGCGGCGGCACGGACGATATTATGAAACAAAACATTGAAACAAGACAGCACTCTGCGAGAATAAGTCTACTAAAAAGGTGAGAGAAATCAGAAGGGCAACAGAACGTGAGATTTTGTCTAAGTAGCGATAATATCGACTTTCGACGGGCGTTTCTGCGGTAACGGTTGGTGAACACGAAATCCAAGCATTCGTTAGCAGCCTTTGACCAGGCGAATTTCCATATATTCACGCCTTAGGCGCCTTTAATAAACGAGATTTTTTAATGAAGAATCGTATGTTTTTCAGCCACAAGTATATTCATTTTTATACACGTATACATTTTTATATTTATATATACATATAGATATATTTTAGCAATCATTTTGCAAAAGCGACGATAGTCGTCTGAAATATCGCTTGAAAAATTATAAAGAATTCCACAAATTTTTTTTCTGTCGAAATTATTTGATATATAAATTATTTTGAAGTTAAAATATTCCTTTTATATATAATTATCATACAGATGATGTTTATTCATGAGATGGTATTAAAATGAATCCAAACCTTAATCCGTCATTGCCTTCGATACCTTCATTAGATGAGAATTCCAGAAACAGTTGGTCACATGTGTGTCAAGTTGACTCATCGTCACGCACAGAAAGCATCAAGTCTCGCTTACTTTTGAAAGTGCTTCTCAATAATCTCGAGAGTCGGCGCGAAGTGGCCTAGGCGGAGGCGCTGCACAATTTTTCGGCACACATTAGCAACCGGAGGCGTGATCGTGCCTTAAGTGCGTCGAATTTAAGAGAACTCAACGATAACAGCAGCTACTTTCTTGCTAACTCGCGATCCCGTGATTTCGCTGGTTCTTTACGACCTGTTACTCGCCGAAACGTTTTAAACACAGTGATCTTTATACATCTCCTGTGTATAGAATATGTCTCTTAAAACATCAATGCGGTTTCAAAAGCAGTTGGAAAAAATGGTCAATCAATTCGATTTTAAATTTCCTAGAAGAAACTCGAAGAAATGAAAGGCAAAAGCCTTTTAGTATAACGAAAGGAAATAAATTATGAAATCTTGTTCTACAGTTTTAATTTCAATTTTTTAATATTTATTAATTTCAATAATATTCTATTTTTTCGAATATTTACGTATAAATACCTGAAATATCATTTAATTCCTCTCACTTCTGCTTCTATAATATTCCTCTTGCCTTTATATACCTAAAAAATCACATAACTTTACTATAACTGATATTACCTCGCAGTTTGCGCGAACATATCCCGTCACGCTTGTCAAGTATACTAAAGGATCGCTTCCTGCATCTTCTTAGATTTCCTCCGCCTATGAAATTTGCACCGGCATGGCATTCGTGCGAGTGCATCGCTCCGTCGACGAAATGATGACGCGTTTCCCGACAATATTATATTCAGCCGACAAAGCGGGAATAGCGCGGTGCGCTGATACGTTATTATTGCCTCCATTAGTCGTTAATATATGCAAAATATCCTTATTATAATTGGCGGTGCTTATGACGCGTGAAATGCAGACACGGTATTACTTAGGCTCACAGAGTGTACGATATTCAGGCTCCTGCATATCTTAGAGAACAATTTTGATTCTTTTTCTCCATTTATTATCCGGATTATAAAAATGAAGAAAAGAAAGAAAGAAAGGAAGAGAGTATACATAATCAGTAAAATCAAAAAAGGTAATCTAGTTTCCAGGTAGAACATTCATTTTATTTTTGTTTCAATTTAATGTAAAATGATATAAAAAAGTAGACAAATGTGTGATCATATTTACGCGATCCCGGATAAAGGCTAATGTAAAGAGAATGGAAGGATAATGTTGAGAAAAATTAATACTCTTTCTCTAGTCTAGATTATGCATCGCGAGGTTTGATCTGGAGCCGCTGATCGATGTTCGGACGAGTTCGCCTTAATGATACGAAATCTGCGGTTAAAATGCGCCGCAGCGTTGATATCGCCGGTCTTAATATGTCAGTCTCGATCGAGTTAAGCCTCGTCTTTTCTTAATTATTTCGTGCGGTCGCTTATCTGCGAGCGACTCGTCGCAGGGGCAATTTAACGATCCCTTCCCTCGTATTATCTCGTATCTTTTGCATACTTTTCAAGTGCAAAACCGCCGCCGATTTAAATCCCTTTCGGCGACTCGATCGTGATCACGCGAGCATAAACGGGCCAGTAATCTGCGAATATATTTCACGAGCCGCGTATTACCGCGAGCGAGTTACTCAAACGGGATTATTCCCTTCACGACCCGACAAGACGAGATTTTAATTAAGCCATGACACTTGGCGCTAACGTGCCGTCGTAATAATTTGTTCTTATCCGCGCGTTGCAGATGATGTGTCCTCATGAAAATCAGTATTTCGTTCTTACAGCGAGGGAATCTTCCCTTAATAGAGATATCCGTATTTATTGGGGCTTACAAAAGCCGGATGATTGTCAGGATTTGGCGGTCGAATATTTAACTTAGCAGGCTCGCGCGTTTCCTTCTGTGTAAAACCAAAATATATGAGTATGCGCGGGTAAAAGATAATTGTTTTCTCGTGTTTATAGAAATATTTGCAGAGCCTACGTCCGTGTCCTCCCACGTGTGATTCTCTGGAGAAACAAACAGCTTTCTTCCTTTCTTTGCATTATTAGCGCATTGTCACGATGTTGACTGTACAATGTGGCCATATTCTTTCGTAATTGAATCCTTCCCGTTGTTTTAACATCCTCGCTACTTTTGCGTCGCCGATGAGTCATATTTCTATTACGTATTTGCGAATAATAAAACGGATATGTTATCTCCTAAATAAATAATCGTTCAAACATGCGGTATTATTTAATAATAGTGATTTGTGCTTTTTTTTATAAATTTAAAATTTGTAATTAGTTTATGCAAGAGAAGTTTCTTCATTATTGTTAAATTTCAATACTTTTATATAAATTTAAAATAACTTGCGTGTGTCAAATTCAAATGTTATATTTTATGCAGATATATACGTTGAAAATTGAATTGCTTTATTAATTAAAAAGTAATATAATTTTCATTTGAAATTAATTGAAGTGATTGAAATAACTACGTGCTTCAAACTCTAACAATAATTAAATTTTATATTATTAAATTATTTCACAAAGAGATATCTTTTTTACAGCTGAGAAATATGATTATAATAAGACAATTTTATTGTGGATTCTATTTTCTCTTTTTTTGATAATCTTTATTGTAGCTTAAAAATAACACTCGTCAACTTCAAAAAACGACACATTGACGAGACATCACTTGCTCTCGTGATACTCGAGGCTTTCTTCGCAAATTTTATCGCGAACATAGTATCGCGTGCGTGTAAATTTCGCCCACACGCCGTTCAATGTATAAAGGAAACGCATTTCTCTCCGTGAACTTCTCTCGTTGCCGCTTTGAGATCTTGCGATCGATGCGGTAGGTAATTATAAGCGCGCGTCGCGGTGATTTAGCATAATGAGAAACGTAATAATTACGTTCGCCGGGCAAGTTTCGCGCGGTAGTACCGACGATTAACGTAAATCTGTGGAATATATATATAGAATCAATTACAGGTGCTAAGGTGCTCGGAAAGCCACACACAGAGCGACGAGATATATTGGAGCATCGATGGTTATTCTTGTGAAGTACGCGATCGACACGGAAATATAAATCTCGCTCATTACTTTAGTTAGGTTCGATATATAAATAATCAATAAATGATATATAAATCAAATGTGATTTTTCAAAAAAGCTAAAGTATATAAATTTTTGTAAGAAATATTTATATTAAGATTATTCTCAAATTAATGTACATTAATTTTAAAAAGTTGATTTACATAAATTATAACGTTATTAGTATATTTGTTGCATATGCATATCTAAAGCCTTATTTGAATTGACGAGGATAATAAAGGCGTGATTGTATCGCATCTCGAGAATATTATTTTTTCTTTATTAACGTCACGGGGAGTTTATCGATTATGTCAGAACTTTTACGAGAAAGAAAAAGAATCTCAGCTTGACGGCTATATGACATTTTCTCGGCGCACACTGTTTAAATATTCGCGAAACTTCGGCGATAGATCAATCTGACGGATGACGTCGATGAAAGGGTGCGTTATAAGAAACCTCGAAGTCACGCGGAGTGCCTTAACTTTTCACGCTCGTCACTTCCGGACAAACTCAGCTAGCCGCTTCTCTTTTTCGGTCGCTTCTTGTTCGAGTTTCTCTTCGGCATCTTCAGTTCGTTACTCGTTTTCGTTGCAGAGTCAAATTTAAATGGAAACTAATGGAACTTTAACCTCTTCAACAGACGAGAAGTTCCGTTCTCATTTATTAGAAATTTTACTTGTGCAATTTTGGAACGTCAAGAAGTATATTTTTATATTTTTGCTTCGATTTTATATACAGAAAGAATCTCGACAGTTCGAATTAGTAATACATTTATTTAATACTCTCTTCAAATTAAATGTTCAATAGCAATAGCACATGCAGAGTGCCAAGACTACATATCATAAATATTTGTCGTCAATTATGCGTCTAGAAAATACAAGGAGACAATTATTCTTCTCGACACTTTTTTGCAAAAAAAAAAATATTTATTTTAGATCCGAGAAATCCGATCACTAATGGCTTGGCTCGCTGCAGGCGCCGGGAGCACTTTATCACAGGAGTTGCACATCGAGAGTTGCACCCTCGCGTGCGCGCGCGTTGCACACATACATGAGATTTCAGGTCGTGCTGGCCGTAACTGGCTATATACGGCGGCCCATAAAACGCGCCAAGTAATAATCGGTGGAATCTTTAGAACCGCGGTGCCTTATTGGCCCCGCGTGCGCCGCGTTCTGCTTGTAGGCACCCGTAGATGGTTCACCGACCGCGTTTATTGCATTCGAGACTTTTTTGCCCGAATAACGATCGGCATAGATTTTTTCTCACCCCGGAAAACTCCCACCAATTCTCGACTTTGTTAGAAAGAGACGTTCAACTGAGCGAACGTACACGATAATATACATATACATGCGTGAACGAGACGTTATCTAATCTCAAATTAACTGCGTGCATGTAGGATTTAATGGTGAATGTTTAAGTAAGTGTTTTCAGTTTAGGATAGATAGAAGCCTTGTGATTAACACACTGTTAATTTTACGATGATACCTATGTACAAAGTAGGCTAACACTAAATTTATTAAATAAAGCAATTATTGGCACATACATTATATGAATTTTATTGCATTTATTGGTACAGTTGAATCGTGAAGATAATTATCATTCTTCGGCAGATCTGTGTACAGATCTTATCATTCGCGACTCAAAGATCTCGGAGGTTAAAGAGAAATAAACTGGGACTGCAGGGTGTCTAGCGGTCAGGGAAAACCAAGTATTGTTAGGGAATTTTATAAATCTGGAATTGTCAGGGAAAAGTTTGGAAATTTTACTATTTATCTGGATTTTTTCACATTATTCTATATACATTTGTCTCAATAATTTGAAATTTTTTATTAAATAAATATGAACTTTTCCTTGTCTCCCAGCACGCTAATTTTCTGTATTGTTAAAAATCGATTCATGTACAGCGTGTTCGTTACTTTATATTTTCATCATCGTGTTATTTTATTTCAATGTGTTTGATAGAGACAAAACTAAAAATTTGATATAATATAAATAAAAAAGGTGATTATTTAAATAGTTTATAATGACATATTTGTTTCGATTATCGTACATAATGCAGATTATATAATCGACTTAAATTTTTAATTTCCGAACCTTTTCATTGACGACAAAAATATCTCAAGGATTTCATGATTTAACATTTAATTAATTTATCATATAGATATATGCAAATTATATATTTGGAAAAAATACTACTAAAATGTCAGGGAAAAAATTAATTTCTGGTCTTGAAAAATCTGAAAAAGTCAGGGAATTTTTTTCATTGAGTCTGCTGGACACCATGAGATTTTATCATTCGCGACTCGAAGATCTCGAGGTTAAAGAGAAATAAACGTGGGACCGAGATGCGATGGTGATGCTGAGGGAACAGGGCTAGGAGCTGCAGGGCGAGACAGAAAATTTGCCGATTACATGGTGCGCCCTCGCAAATCACAGTGTTGTATGCATTGCAATGAGAAGCGCCCGGCTACCATAATTCCGATTAGTTAAGACGCGGGGCTTCGGCAACGTAATGCATGCATGCACCGTGCGCGACGTACGTTGCATCTCGCATCGGCGCATATTTTACGAGGCCGAGAACCGCTC